CTGGATATATAGCTCACTAATTCTGAATTTATAGTTCATTAATTCTGGATATATAGTTCACTAATTTTGAATTTATAGTTCATTAATTCTAAATATATGGTTCTTTAATTTTGAATACACAGACGCAGCGAACTGCCATAAGTCAAAATAGAATACCAGTAATCGGTGTGGATATATAGTTCACAAATTCTAGATATATAGTTCATTAATTCTGGATATATAGTTCAAATTATGCATAGCATAACGCCGTTAAGGGCAATTGATTTTTTTTTTAAGTCGAACGTCAAAACGATGTCGTTTTTGCAATCGTGTGCACCTTGCATGGTGCACACGGTTGCACGTCATAATTTGCCATTCTTGCGGGAGCGTTATGCTATGGAATCGTGCTCACCTTGCAAGGTGAGCACGGAGTAGATTCATAATTTTTATACTGTAGATTCATAATTTCTATACCGTAGATTCATAATATAATTATGTGATTTGTGAATGCAGAGTTCAACAATTGAGGAATATGAACATCGAAAATTATAAACATATAGCTCTATAATTATGAACATATATTTATAAAACTATGAACATATAGCTCTATCACATGTTCACAAACCTAATACTGTAGATTCATAATTTTTATACTGTAGATTCATAATTTCTATACTATAGATTCATAATTTCTGTACTGTAGGTTCATAATATTCGTACTGCGAAGATGAAATAATGCGATCGCGAAGAGATAAACGTTGTTAACAACAAGTGAAAAATAATTATTTTTTAAAATTAAAACGACATCATTTTCGTTGAAAACGACGCCGTTGTGGAACTGTGCCCACCTTGCAAGGTGAGTACGATTCCACAGCATAATTTGCCCATACCTAATTAACTAGTTTTTCTTTTCCCTTTCTTTTAGTTTTTTTCTTTTACCTCCTTCCTCTCTTTCAATGTTGGCTCGGATAAATTTGAGTAAAAAATAAAACTATTGAGCTAACACTTAGGGATAATAATGGGTCAGTGGAAGGGTGAAGTGGGTTACATCCACCACCCAATCCATCTTATACTTTATATACCCACTCCCACCCCGACCCATATCAAATGATTGTTTTCAAAACTCACCTCACCCCACCGAATGCACGTGTTTTATTACGAGTGTGCACCACTTTTATTTAAAAAAAAAATATTAAAATTACATGCATATAATAAAATAATAAAATTCACTAGTTATAATAAAATATAAAATAATATTTTCTCTATCATATTTTATATGTTGTATTTATTATTCATGTAAAACTAACTCTTTCTTCTTTGTTTATTATCTTTATTATTTTTCTTATTTTTAAATTTGATTTTTGTGTATGTGTTTAATAGTACTTTTAGTGTAGTTTCTAAATATACAAATTTTGTATATCAATATCAATACTAAACTTAATATTAAGAAAATTGAATTAAAAATAATTTCAGTCAAGCCTTGTTAAAAATAACGAACCAAACACAAAAAATGGGACCGGGGGTAACTAAATTGTTAATTTTTTTAAAAAAAATAATTAAAAAAATCAACATAAGTTATAGAAACGTTTATAATTAATTACATACTACTACTTATTGGTCGATTGAGTGAGGTCTAGGGGGGTTTTCCACATGCATAAAACCTGAATTTTAACAATCTCAAGTAATTTGATGCTATGACTGATTTGTGAATTTTAAGCCTATATACTTTCATCATTTGGAAAATCTATACATGTAACTGGAATTATGTGAACTATCGATTGGAGCCTATTATGATGGCAATTTTTTTTAGTGACGAGGGAAATCTTCAGTCACTGTTTGATGGTGTGTATTGGGTAAATTTAGCCATGTTATTCTAGTCGATAAAAGACCACAAGGATGTGAACCTATTTAGGTTGTCTATAGTTGATCGACTCAAACTAAAAATGTTAGTAAGTTGTTCCTATTGAGAGTCAAACTTATAAGTGTTTTGTTAAAGTCCACAATTTGATCAATTTATTAGAGTTGTCTTTTTTTTTTTTTTTTTTTTTTTTTTCGAGTTACAACATCTAGTATCTTATATCTAGACTCCTAAACTTGTAGTTGCATTATATCGAGCACATAGGTTTTTTATAAAAATAAAAAATAAAAATAAAAATCGAGCACATAGTCCTAGATACAAGCATTAATTTATTAAATAATTCTTAAAAAAAATTAAAAACAATTGGGTATCTGTTTCTACGGTTCCCGCTTTTATATATATATATATATATATATATATATATATATATATATATATATATATATGTATGTATGTATGTATGTATAAAAGAAAGAGTAGTTATACTATGGAACCATTCAACTCATATTTTTCACGCCCACTTTTAAGTTTTACCCACCTTTCACTATTATCACCATCTTCACTATTGTCATCATCGTACCTATCGTCACTGCTATCATCGTCATCATCACCATCACCGCTATCATCGTCGTTGTCGTCACCGCTATCATCATCGTCGTCGTCCCATTATCATCGTCGCCGCCGTTGCCATCGTCACTGCTATCATCATCGTTATCATCACCGCTATCATCATTAGCATTATCATCATCAATGAATTCATAATCATCATCAATGAAATCATCATCATCATCAATGGATTCATTGTAGATCCATTCAAGAAAGAGGTTGAACAAAGAGTAAAGGATAATCAAGATAAGCTCAGAAGCTGTAATGAAACCCATAAACCTGAATAGGATTCTATAGTTGCCATTTTTTAAATAATATACATAATATAAAGTTGATGCTTGTAGAAGAAGACAATACAACCAAACCAGTATAGCAAACTTGGTAAACATGATTAATAATATCTAAATAGTTGTAGAATGATGAAAGAAGATTACAGAATGATGAAGGGAATTATAGAATGATGAAGGGTTTATATAGTATTAGCTAGTTATTATGTTTAATGATTTTAGTATGATTGGGAAACCATACGTTAATCTTAAACCAATTAAAATTTTAGTATTTTACTATGATAAGCCAACTTTAATCAAATTAGGATTTTAATATGATGGGTATAATCTTTACATAATTTATCTCGTTAATATATATAAATTACATTTTATAATTTTTATTTCTTTACTAGGCTTGAAATATTAGTAGTTCCAATCCTTTTACCGACCAAACTCTTCTTCATCATGTGAATTTTATTTATTTGTCTAATATAAGTACACTTATAAATATTTAATTTCTTGTCTAAATTATTATATATGTAATAATTCATGTATAATATGATTTTTTTTTCTTTCAGATCGGTTATTAATTGATAATGATAAATCTATATCTATATCAATACTATTGCGTGTGTATTTGCTCGTTAATCGTTAGGTCAAATTGCGCAAATTATGCATTGGACTCGTGTCCATAATGTATTGTGGACACGTGTCCAAAGCGACGTCGTTTTCAGGGACACGAGTCCAAAACGACGTCAAATTGCGCATATTTCAATTTTTTTTTTTTTTAAAATAGATTTTGTCTCGCCGTTAACGACGTTATTCGTTTGTGCCATTATGAATGTATAGTTATGGGATTATGAATGTACAGTTATGGAATTATGAATGTAAGTTATAAAATTATGAACACAGAGCTCTGACATTATGAACTTACAATTATGAACATATAGTGATAAAATTATGAACATAGAGCTCTAAAATTTTGAACATCGAGCTTTGAAAATTATGATTTTACAGTTATTGCATTATGAATGTACAGTTACGGAATTATGAATGTACAGTTATGCAATTATGAATGTACAGTTATGCAATTATGAATGTACAGTTATGCAATTATGAACACAGAGTTCTGACATTATGAACTTACAATATGAACATATAGTGATAAAATTATGAACATAGAGCTCTAAAATTGTGAACATAAAGCTTCGAAAATTATGAAGTTACAGTTATTGAATTATGAATGTACAGTTACAGAATTATGAATGTACAGTTATGGAAGTATGAATGTACAGTTATGGAATTCTGAATATAGAGCTTTGACACTATGAACTTACAATTATGAACATATAGTAATAAAATTATGAACATATACTCCTATAACAAAGTGATCTGAAATTACACCAAAAAAAAAAAAAAAAAAAAAGATAACAGTGCCTAACGGCATTGTTACCCGTGTCCAGCATGCATGCTGGACACAGGTCCATAGCATAACGATTGGTCAAATTGTATTTGGGTTCGGGTCTGTAAGTCAGAACTATATGAGCCCAAATGGTTGGGTCCGAAGGCCCAAATCCAAAGGATATTACCCCGATTAGGGTTTTATCACGCAGCTGCTCTTGGCAATTTATATCCTACACCACAGCGCGCGTTGCACTGTGCGCCCAGATGCAAAACGACGTCGTTTTAAATATTTTTTTTTTTTGAAATATAATTGTATACATGAATGTACATAATTATATAACAAAATATACATACTCTTTTTAAAAAATAATACACATAATCTAACATATTACATAATAAACATAAAATTTTAACATAATACACATCAACTCTTAACATAATAAACACAAATTTTTTGATTCCGATGTACATAATTGTATAAAAAGAATGTACATAATTGTATAAAAAATGTACATAACTGTATGAACAAATACACATAATTGTGTGAACAAATACACATAATCACAGGTGGACAAATACACATAACTGTATGCGTTTATAAATATTTAATTTCTTGTCTAGTATAAGACACCAAATTATTATTATTATATTATTATATATGTAATAATGTAATAATAATTAATGTATAATATCACCTTTTTTTTCTTTCTTTCAGATGGGTGATTAATTGATAAATCTATTTATATCTATATCTATACTACTGCGTGTGTATTTGTTCGTTAATTGTTAGGTCAAATTGTATTTGGGTTCGGGTTTGTAAGTCGGAACTATATAAGCCCAAATGGTTGGGCCCGAAGACCATATAGAAAAGCCCAAACCTAAAGGATATTACCGCGATTAGGGTTTTATCAGGCAGCTGATCTTCTTTTCGGCAACCTCTGGAATCCTAGTCTCAACTCTCAAGTCGAAGTTCTCTCCACACAGCAAACATGGGGTATGATTTGAGCTTCACTCCTACTTTTCAATTCTTCACTGTTAGATTATGAGTGTGAAGCTCTGTAGATTAGTTTTCTTTCGATTCAGCTTTTAGCATTCTGTAATTCGCGTTTCGGATGTTGTATTGTGTTCGAAAGTTGAATTCTTTAGCTAATAGATAGGATTGTTATGTGTAGTAAGGGATCATTTGCTTTAGTTGATACCCTTCTTTCTGCTAGCGAGGATGCAATCATTGATTTGTATAGTTGATGTAGGAAGGCTCGAATAATTGCTTGCAATGGTAAATGTTTTTATTGATATTTTGGATATGAAATGCAATTCATTTATGTTATTTGGGGGAGGTGGGGAGGGTTGTTTCTAGCTGATTTGCTAAGCCTCTTTCTATTTCATAAAAGATACAATTAAGTAGGCTGAGATTGTTTGGCACATGGTGCTGTTTTCTGGTATTAGACTGTTACTTCTAAGGGAAGTGGTCTTGTTACTTGGATTCACTGACATCATGACTAGTGTTGAAAAGAGGATTGCTTTGTAATGTTCTTGGGTGGGTTTTCACTTGTTGAGTTCAACTATGGTATTATTTCTTGCTATGTGTCTCTAGCTATGTTTTAACAAGTTAATTCTTCTTCTTCTGTTGTTTTTTATTTAGACCTGTAATCTCATGTATAATAGATATATTACCCTGTAAATTTTGTATTTTTTAAGATCAGACCTTATGCAATCTGATTGTAGCTTTTGATTCTCTGCAACTCAAATGCTCTTTCTTTCTTTGAATAAGCTAATAGGTTGTGAATGTCAAATGATTTTGTTTGTTAAACTGCTGATAGCGTCCCTAATATAATTTTCTATAATCTTTCAGGAAGACACGTGGTATGGGAGCTGGACGCAAGCTGAAGTCCCACCGCATAAGGCAGAGGTGGGCTGATAAGGCCTATAAGAAATCTCATCTTGGGAATGAATGGAAGAAACCATTTGCTGGTTCTTCCCATGCAAAAGGCATTGTGCTTGAGAAGATGTTAGTCCACTTATTTTTAGTCTTTGATTATTAATTATATATTCATGACAGGTTTTACCTAACTAATCTATCCAAATTGTTATCTTGGTATGCACAGAGGCATTGAAGCTAAGCAGCCAAACTCTGCTATTCGAAAATGTGCTAGGGTTCAACTCATTAAGAATGGGAAAAAGATTGCTGCTTTTGTCCCCAATGATGGTTGTTTGAACTATATCGAAGAAAATGTGAGTTGTTGCCTTCAACTCCCGGTTACTTTTTCTGCTTATTGACTTTTCATTCAACTAGGAGAGATCTGAGTGTTTCTTGGATTAATTTGCAGGACGAGGTATTGATTGCTGGATTTGGTCGTAAAGGTCATGCCGTGGGTGATATTCCTGGTGTCAGGTTCAAGGTGGTGAAGGTCTCTGGCGTTTCTCTACTTGCCCTCTTCAAGGAGAAGAAGGAGAAACCAAGATCTTAGTTTGCCTATCCCCCCTCAGTGTTTTGTTGGTCTCAAGAATTGTGATGAACTTTTTTCTGTTTCAGAGTTCTTATGTGGTGGAGAAACAATTTTGAATCTAGTTGGAATTTTGACTGTTATTGATTTATACATCTCTCTGTCATTGTTTGTTAGTGTGTGCATCAGTTTAAATTTTTATGACATTCACTTGCAATTCAAAAAATATATATACATTCATCTTAAAAAGTTCACTGACATGTAAAAGGTTTCTGATAATGGGTTTTGTAATGAAAAGTCTAGTCCCAAATTCACGGACTAGGAAGCTTTGCTTTAGTAAAATTTCATGGCCAATGGCAAAATTCTGTTCAAGATTTCATCAAACTGAGTTGAAACATACTAAAACATCTCTGTTCAAGATTTGTGAGCCTAGGATTTCAAGTGGATAGAATACAATAATTGACTCATTTTAAACACATTATGATCAACACCACAAAGGTAGCCTGCACTTACAATTTTACTGGTAAAAAAAAAAAGACCTGTCATGTCTAGCGTGATAGATCTAAACATATAGGAGGATCAAAGTACACACCAGGAGGGTGGGGGAGAGGCTGCCAATTAATTTATAAACTGTTGTTTTCTTTGTAATCAATTTCCAGAGGAATGGCAGAATTAATCTTCCCAACCACCTCCTCGACGACTGCTTCTTTAGAGAAGTCAAGAAAATCGCCATCCCCAGAATTCTTGACAGCAAATGGTATCCTGCTAGCTGCAATCTCAGATATTGTTGTATCAGCATTCTTGGAAATCGAATAAGAAGTCTCCTCTTCAACAGCAACAACCTTGATGTCGTTGGAGTTGGCTTTCTCATTTACATTAGCAGTCATTTCATTCTTCAGAACGCCAAGGTCCCCATGATTAACTGCCTCTAAACCAGCATCTTGTACTACATGTTTTACTGTATCATGTACTCTGCTGCCAACATCCATCTCAGATATTGTTGTATCAGCATTCTTGGAAATTGAATAAGAAGTCTCCTCTTCAACAGCAACAACCTTGATGTCGTTTGAATTGGCTTTCTCATTTACATTAGCAATCATTTCATTCTTCAGAACGCCAAGGTCCCCATGATTAACTGCCTCTAAACCAGCATCTTCTACTACATCTTTTACTGTATCATGTACTCCGCTTCCAACATCCATCGCATATGAGTTACTTTCTTCATTCTGTTCATGATGAACTTCTGGAGCAAAGCTAGGAAAAGATTGTTTATCTTTTGGAGCATCAGTGATGTTCAATGAGGTAGGTGACTGTGATTTGTCCTGGAAAGATGTGGGAGAAGAAAGGTTCTGAGTACCAGACTTCATATTTTCAGAGGCAGTTGACATTCTTGAGGGTGGAAGACCTGAGGCCTTGGATTTCATATTTGACCTCCCAATCCCATTTGGACTGCAGATAGTTCCAATTTTGGGCAATGCAGTGCTTTGTTTGGAATTACATCGCATAGTCCCATTGGGTGTGCGAACTGACTTCACCTGCACAGTGCAAACATTGAATCAGAATGCTGTAACTTGGAGAAATTTTACAGGATAACAATCCGGATCATGCTTTATCACTACTGACTATAACTTTGCCTTGACCAGTAATTTTGAGTTAAAGAGAGAATTGAAAAACAAAGATGGAGACTGACCCCGTCAAAGAAACCAATTTTTGGGGATGGCATCCGTAGGCCTGATGGTTTCATAGGTGGAAGAGAGACTGTGTCACTTTGTGTTGAAGCTTTCCTTGTATTTTCTTTAGGCGATGCTGTTCCCTGATTCTGATTACTAGAAGAATTTGTGAAGTCCAAAGTAGAAGCATCACTCTCCAAAGATATACAGGAACTGGTATCAAAACTAATCCTCGACTTATTTGACCTCTCATTAATGATAGAACAGGATGATGATGATGCTGCCGAAGCTGATGACCATTCGCTTATAGAACTAGCAGGTGATATGCTAGAATTGATCTTTGAAGACATGAGATAAGCTGAGATTGCAGAATTTCCAGATGATACTTTATTCTTCAATGCTGTTTTTGATGGAGTTTTGAGCATTGAAGCAGAGGAAGGTTGACTAACAGGTTTACTAACCAACTTCCTTCTGGCCATAGGTAAATTGGGTTTTCCTGCCTTGTCAGACAAAGTACTTCCAGTACTATCACTTGAAGATCTTGAGGACAGCATCTTGCTTGCAGCTGAAAATCTCATTGAAGAAGCCTTGGAAGACAATGCAGGTTTTGGTAACGCCTTGCAGGCATTACTTGAGTCAAATACTTTTGATGTATGAGCCCCTTTACCAGCAACTGTCAGTTTCCATTCATTAATTAATAAAATGATAATAAAGCAGTCATACATAAAAAGGCCCAATCCAGATACTGGGCACCTTTTAGAGAATGGACACTGCCCTAATATGGCTGTTGAAGAAATAGTAAACTTTATTTGAAGTATGTTTCCTTACCAGTATTGGTTTTTGTATTGTCATGATCAATTTTAACATGATTAGCACTCAAAGACGCCCTTTTTGCCATTGTTGCTGGGATGGGATTTGCCTTACTGGGCAGTTTTGGTAGCTTAGCAAGTGATGATGTTAAGTCCCCAGTTTTGACAGGCTTCATTAAACAACATAGAAACAGCATGAGCTAAACAAATATCAAGAGTTGACAATTTGTTTTAAAGTTCAAAAGAGAAATAAAAACAACAGAAACTCGGACATCTGCTTAAAAAAAATAAAAATTCAATTAAACCAAATGACTAAAGCTATGCAATTGAAACAGATGAAATTCCAGTTAGCAACAAATAAATAGAAAAATTTACATGCCTGTGTGACACGAGGATTGTCCAGCTTTATGCTTTTCCTGGGGCCTTGTATCCCATCAGTGTGTTTCTGCTGACTTTTTAACATTCCCAAAGTCTGAGCCCCAATGGCTCTTTTTGGAGCAAGTTTAGACTTTGGCTGAAATTTTAGAATGCAGTTTTGTCATTGATAAACTACTGGAAACAAAAAAAAAAAAAAAAAAGGTGGAGTTCAAATATTGCAATTGGTTTAGTTTGTCTTACCACATTTTTTAAAGTGGCATCTGCCTTCTTCGAAGCTGTGTAATGAAAAGTACACAAAAACACAATAATTTAGCAACCATGTTGCCAAATTCATTCCCAACAAATGAAGAGTCAGCTACTATTAACCAGAAAAGAAGTATGTCTTACCAGAATTACCCCCATTATCTGCCACAGGAGATACGTCTTTCCTGATTGAGGTCATCACATTTGACACTTTATTGGATCTCTGTATCGATGCTCTAATGTCTTCAAACAACTCAGCCTCAAGATGTTCCAGCGCCACATTATCACTTGCTAATGTTGATATTGTATCTGTAGATTTTTCAACATCCTCTTCAATCCTAGGCATTACATTTTTCTCAATCTTTTCAGATCCCTTGACCATGCTGGACAACTCCTCAGCATCCAGAACCCCTGGAAATGAAGCAGATCAATAGCAACCACAAATTAGAATAAATAACTTTAGCAGAAGATAGAAAATGAATTGTTCTCCGACTTGATGGGGGCTCACAAAACAAGGTAAATACCTGCATCCGTAAAGAAAGCACTATCCCATGCTAAGCTCTTGCGTAAATTCAACTTTCCTTTCCTTCTGCTTCTTTCTGGTTCCATTGATTCATGTAGTTCAGGCAGCACGTCATCTTCTTCACCTCTATTATCCATATCCTTTTCTTCTTGAACATCCATCGTTCCCGACATCTCCAAGCTTAAGCCTTTGTGATTATCTGAAACACCAAAAGAGAAAGCAACTTTATCTCCAATTCTCCATGGACACACAAAATTTGATGCAAGGGAGAACATAGATCTACTTCCAACTGACGAACAAACAAAATAGAATATCACAGTTGAGCTAAAATCCACCAGGGTTCTAATAAACAAAATACTTAAGCCACAGTTAAGTTCAAAAGAGCAAAGGCAGTAGAAAACCCAATGTGTATTCAGAACTAATCAATCCAAAACTGAGCATTTCATATCTACACAGCTACATATAACTGAAAAATCCAGTATTTATGAAATACCCACTCCTTTATGATCCATCATCAGGTCAATCACACGTCTCAGATCTTTAACCGGAAAAAGTGGATTGTTAAGCTGAGATAAAATTCAAGCAGAAATATAAATCTTAGCTGTTGGCTTACTAATCCCCTCAATTAGCTTTGAATTCTTGTACTGAAAAATCAACCAAGCACTATAATTTACTGTTTAAAGCTACTAGGGTTAGGTCTGCAGTAAGAACCCAAGTCTATCATAAAACATAGCACTAAAAATGAAATTCTTGGATACCAGTCTGCTTGAGCGGCGAAGGGGACAAGGTTAGGACGAAATCATCATTCTCCGGCCCATCGTCGAGGAGACTGAGGCCCTTCACTTCGAGATCGATGTGGTCGACTTCCGCCATCGACATTAACCCAATTGATTCGATTTCCGATGCGACTGAGACTGTGGCTGCGAATTCTTCAAAGATCACTCGAAAGAGCGGTGGCGATTGAAGATAAAGCTAGACGGCCTACAAAAGTGCAGAGAGAAAGAGAGATGAGAGCGCTAACGGGAAATTTTTTGAATTTACGAAGGGGGCGGTTTTGAAGATTATTGTATGTGTGCTTCGCTGGTTAGAGGGATGAAATGACATTTCGCCCCTTCGAGTTTTTTATTGATTAGTTTATTTAAAGAGAAAACTATCACTATTTTAATGGCAACCAATGTGGTTGGTGATTTGGCGTGATGGTTCAACATCTTGTTCCTTAAGTATGAGGTGAAGGGCTTGATCTCTACTCATGTTCACAAATAGAAATAATGAATTTTTCTTTGTTTTTTTTTCCTTCTCCTGTAAGATTGTGTTTTTTCGTGTGATTTACATAATGAGAGAAACATGAAAAATTCGCGCACGTTTTGCGTACATATACACCCAAACTGGGTGCGTAGAACATACTTTAACTTCTTTTTTTCTCAAATGTCAAGTTCTCAGTCTTGTTTTTTATTTTTTATTTTTCTTTCTTCTCATCTTTCCCTTTCACCTCTCTCCTACTTGCCACACAAAAACTCGATCAACAAATGAGGTTGCTCTTAAATACTAATTTTGAACATAAATGTCATAAATAGGTATGTGAGATAGTAAATAATCACGATTGCATATAGTCGGTTAATATTATTGACTCTATTATTTTTAGAGTACGAGTATAAATTTGTGTAACAAAAATAACATACTAATGATATAAGAAAATTGAGTTTATTATTTTGGGAGTACGAGTACAATTTTTTTGTTGACAAAAATAACATAGTGATGATATAAGAAATTGAATTGGTCCTAGTTTCATACATATAACGCTTATGTGTATGTGTTATATCGAAATATAAAGCGTAAATTCAGCATATCATGAGATTAATGATTGCAATATGATGTAACATCTTCTATAAATAGCAATTATAGTGTGAAATTGTGAACACGATAATTATTGTTCATACTTATGATAACGTTTGCGCCGTTTTGGTAAGCTTTCTAAGTTATGATCGCACCATTAAGATTACTAATAGCGTTTGGATTGAGTTAGCCTAATATTTAATATTTCATCATAGCATAATATTTCGTATCTAATTATCTATCCATACACATCATCTACTAACTTATAATGCATAATTGTATACAATGTATAACAACCTTTAACAATATTATAAACGTTGTAGCATGATACGAGTTGTGTTTTGATAGTTAATTTTTCTAGATCAAATATAAATAAATAAATTGACAATTATTTGATTTGATTATTTCAATTATACATGTATTTTGGGTCCATTTTTGTATCATCTTTCAAAAAATAATGGTTATGAGTAATACATAATCACTACATACAGGGGTGGACCCATAAAAATTGTTAAGTGGGGGCGAAGTTCAATTAGTAAAAAATGTCTATAAGTTTATAACAAAAATGTTAAGCATCAAAATCTTATGTGAAATATTAAAACAAAAGGGATAACTTTAAAAAAAAAAAAAAAAAAAAAAAAAAAAAAAAAAAAAAAAACCTAAGAAGTTAGCCATAAATATTGTTAGATATGAGCGAAAAATAACAAATCAAAATTTATACAAATACTTATAACAAAATATGAAACATAATTAATTTGATAAAATAATTCTAATAGAAAACACATTATAAATTACACATCTCATTAATCATTATTACTATAAAAGTATATATATATATATATATATATATATGTGTGTGTGTGTGTGTGTGTGTGTGTGTGTGAGAAAATCTCACATCTCCTCACATCTCACATAGCCATAAAAACTATGTTCTTTGAAAGTCTCACCATTATTCAAATAGCTATAAAACTGTCTTCAAGCCAAAAAGATTAGACAAGATTCAAACCCACACCCTGCTTAAGCAAACATGCATGCTTTATCATTTAAGTTGATTCACTTTTTGTTAACTTTTCCTGTTTTCTTTTACTTATACTAAAACTGTGTACTATATATACATATATATACAAGTGTTATATATGGGGTGTGGGTGGGGTGAGTGGGGGCAGCTGCCCCCATGCTAGGTCCGCCCCTGACTACATAAGAACATACATGGGTAAATCATATTCCCGTGCAAAAGTCAATATAATAATATCTCTATCTCTATCCCTATATCCCTATATCCCTATATATATATATATATATATATATATATATATATATATATATATATATATATATATATAAACAAAATGATTATGGGAAAATTTGTTACTCTCAAGTGTGAAAGCATTTATTGTATTCACATTACTTTATAAATTCATGTAATTTTAATTACAAATCAAATCCTCTTTTTAAAAAAATACAAATCAACATCAACATCAACATAATTATTAATTTAGTCAACATAATATGTCTATATCATTAATTTATAAAATATTACATATATTATATATTATATATTGTATCTCTATCTCTTCTCTCTCTTCTCTATCTTTATATCTCTATCTCTATATATATTATATGAAAATGATTAGAGGAAAATCTCTATCTCTTCTCTATATACATTAAAGCAAAATGATTAGGGAAATTTTTTCCCTAATCATAATCATCATAAATAATTAAATAAAGATGAAAATAAAATCAAAGTGAATAATAAGCAAAAGGATTTTAGTGGATATGAGAGTATTTCACAAAATTAATTTAAGTAATAGTTGTTGATTCATAACTAAAAATTAATATTGCAATAATTATGTTATGTTTCTAACATTAATTGATTGAAGATAAATTTAAAAGTCATAATCAATATTTACATGAACATCTACACCTACTTCAACACTATAAATAAACTATCATCCACATGGCCACAACTAATACTACAATTATGTTTTGGTCGTGGCTAAAATTGGGAGGATGGTTGTGACTATAATAGGGAGAATAATATTTTTGGGAGTTTAGATCTCTTATAGAGCTTATACTGTGCGATATGGAAAAGATGAATCAATAAATGCGCAGTGGACATGAAGAAAAAGTTGAGGATAAAAATCATACCTTGCTTCTGAATCTGGGGCTTCGATTTTTGGAGCTGTTCTTTCTTAGAAGCAGAAGCAACTGTTAGCCGTAGTTCATGAACACGAAGAAGAAGAAACAACTTACGTACAAAGACTATTTTGCCCTCATGAATAATTTTGTTTAAAAAATTTAAGTTTTTTCGGCAAATTTTCATCGGTGATTTGATCGGAAGGACCAAATATACTAAAAAAACATAATTAAAGGACTAAATTGTTAGCTATAAAAGTCATGGAACAAAATTAACACGTCCCCTATAGTAATAGGACCAAAAGTGTAATTTGTTTATTAATTAATAATAATTCGTGCATTGCACTGGACACTTACTAGTGTGTTATCCTTCTATATATTAAAGCCATATAGCCATGACCAATCAAATTGTAGTATTTTCCCGCTTAGTGTGAACACATTTTTTTATAAATAAAAATAAATAGAGATAGAGATTTGTCAGATATCCTCCACTAAGGAAAGAATATTCTAGAAAGCAGTTTTTTTATTAATAAGTTGTGTTTATATTTCCAAGAAAAAAATAATGACCAGATATTATTTTCAAGGAGTCTTTTCAGTTTTCAATGAGTCTTTTCAATTGTTTAGATAGTAATATATATAGCGGCATTTGGGTGTTCAGATTTTGAAGAGCTTTATATATATGAATGAATGGTGCAAGGCGGTGGCCAAACTCACGGAAGGGAGCCAAAGAATCTGAAACGGCGGCGAGCGTTAGAAGGACGACGCGGAGAGAAAGATAACAGAGACGAGCTATATGCTAGAACGAGGGAGCAAGTGGAAACGTATGCTAGAACGAGGGAGCAAGTGGAGACGTATGCTAGAACGAGGGAGCAGGTGGAGACGTTGGTGGTCGCCGGCCGCTTTGTTCTGGGCGTCTCACTTCTGGCAGTCAAGATTAGAGTATGGTGAGAGTTAGAGGTAAAAGGGTGAGAGACTGAGAGTGAGAGAGGTGAGAGGGTGAGAGTCTCCTCTGGCAGTGGTGTGAGAAGATACGGTGATAGAAAGGCTGTTTCGGTGCATGGCAAGGGGTGGTGGTCCAAGACGGCAAGGATGAACACTCAATGATTGTGCAGATTGGAAATACATAAAGGTTTAAAGCAAGTGGTTTTTTAAAAAAAAAAAAAAATTGAAGCATAACAAATGAGAGCAAGGGAGATACATTTTCAACATTACCAAGATGAAAACAAATAGGTTCTAAGTTGGGAATTTGGCTGCAGGGTATGGCCATGAATAAATATGATAGAAGTTCTTCTCTAACTCTAACTGCATTTGTTTGTTCAGGTATGATCATCTTGAATCTACAATAGACTCATCATCAAGGAAGATAATTTAAATGAGTTTTTTTGTTTTTTTTTTTTTTAGGTAATCTGGAAAGTCATCTTCAAGAAAGGTAGTCTATTTTTATTTCACTACTTTTTTTAAGATTCATGTTTATATGTATATTATATGTATATTATCAATGTTTGCTATAACAATTTTTCCTTTGATGTGTAGTTCCATAGAAAATCACAATGCTATTCCATCTGTTTTGAAGCCCTACGGCCATTTATCTGATATTTATCCTAAAACTTGGTTTTATGTAGTTTATAATTTCATATTTTCTGTGATGGGTTGCTGTTTTTGTTTTTTTTTTTTTTGTAATGGGTTGCTGGTTTTTAGTTTTAGGTTTTATTATTATTTGTTTGGGTGTCTTGCCTCTATCTCCTTTGTCAACCTTAAAGTGTGCAATCATGGAAGCCGAGCACCATAGATGAGAACCAGTTTTACCTTTATTTTACAAATGTGGTTCAGTTTTTTGATTTGCTGCCTCATTGACTCCATAATGACCCTTCACAAATGTGGTGGAAGAGGACCGAGGTGCATATTGTCAAGCAAGGTAAAATCTTCATATTGTATTTTTTTTTAAAGGGTGAACTCCTCCATATTGCAGCCTATATAATGACCACTCGGATGAGAAGATTTGCATGCATAACACATTAATACTCCTTGCAGAGCAGAAACCTTTCCAAAATGCATTCTTGATACATACTTGCAAGCCAAACTC